CTTTTTGTATGCCATTTCAAAGAGCTTTAATGATGCCTGCTGAAGGGAGGATGCTGCCTGCCTGATGTTTTCTCCCGTTTCACTGTCTTTTCGAGCCAGGAGCTCCCTCATTTTGGATATCTCTTCTTTAAGTTTGTTGCACTTAAAAAGACAAAAATTTTCATTTTCTCAGGTCTTCTGTCCCATTATGTGTTGCAGTAATATTCAGAACACTTAAAAAACTGATTACTTATATCATGATACACAGAAAAACAAACTTCACTCAGTGGTGATAATTCCCCCAATCTTTTCAGTTGTTTGAGAACAGTTTACCTCATCAGCAGGTAATTGGTCCTTGAATTCTTCCATCTTGGTTTCTGTGTCATGAATGATTCCTTCAGCCATGTTAACTGCTTCAACTCGTTCCTTAGAGAAATGAGAAGTTTAATATAAATGTTTTTCCAATCAAAACTCAGAGAAGTTTGAGCTAGACTCTTTTCATAAGAATTCTGATAGAAGACTAAGAAAAAACATTTCAAGCAAGGGTGTGGTCATGCACACCTGTAATCCCAGCTACTCAGGTAGCTAAGGTGGAACATTATTTGAGCCCAAGAGTTTGGGACCATAAAAAGACCCTATATGAAAGCAAAAGAGATCTGAGTAAAGCAAAGGTGAAGATAGTGGTAAAAGTTCAGCCACATGTTCAACTCTACTTTCATGTGACAGCTTTACTAAGATTAAGAAGCCAAGAAGATGGGCTGGGGTTGTAGCTCAGTGGTGGAATACTTGCCTAGCATTTGTGAGGCACTGGGTTTGATCCTCAACATCAGATAAAATTGAATAAATTTCATTATACTGTGCCCATCTACCAACATTAAAAAAAAAAAAAAAGTAATTACCTTCTTTCTCCGGTCTTCTTCAGCATACTTCTCTGCATTTTTAACCATATTTTCAATATCATCTTTACTTAATCCACCAGAGGACTGGATTACAACTGTAAGAAAAAACATCTATGAGCTCTTTGGTAAAATTATATACCCGTTCTTCCTCTGGCCAAGGTCAACTGATCTACTTTTTCCTACTTAAAATCCAGAGGGCTCACTGCTTACCCGTTTGCTTCTCTGAAAAACATTATACTTGTAAAGAAGACTCATTCTCCCCTCAGGACAGAGAAGAAAAAGAGGTGCMCGTAACAACAGGATCTAATTCCCAACAGAGGTCCCTCACCTTACTCTTAACTGATAAGGACTTACTCTGCTGCTCACGTCCAGTGCCCTTATCTTTTGCAGAAACATGTACGATCCCATTGGCATCAATATCAAAGGTAACTTCAATCTGAGGGACTCCACGAGGGGCAGGGGGAATTCCAATCTAAAGTAAGCAATACTCAGAGTAAGATCCTTTAACAGGAGGTCTAGTGCTACTATTGTCACAACTATATGATCATTAGGTAAACAAATTATTTGCTTCCTGGAAGGAACAAGTGATACTTTCACACAGTGCACAAAACCATGAGTTTATAAAAGTGAGGGTGGTAGCTTCACTGCTGCATGAAATCAACAGGGCTTTATACTTGTGAAGTTTAGTTACATGTACAGTGAATAATAATTATAATGGCTATATTTATCCGGGGACATGGTGAATGATAGGAAACCTCTCCACTGTAGTTCATATCACTAAGAACAAAGCAATACTGATCAAAAGCCAGTAACAACATCAAATGACTCTTACATGATTAGAAAAAACATTTTATAAAGTACTTGATGAAATTTCGAAGGCTCTGATAAACACCAAAGGCATGGATTGCAGAATTCATCCTATATACGTCAGCAGTTTATAGGATTTGGAGTACTATCTAACTTTAGAATGAAGCAATTGGAGAACACAATTTTCAGATTTTTTTTTTAAAGAGAGAGTGAGAGAGGGGAGAGAGGRGAGAGAGAGAGAGAGAGAGAGAGAGAATTTTTAATATTTATTTTTTAGTTCTTGGCGGACACAACATCTTTGTTGGTATGTGGTGCTGAGGATCGAACCCGGGCCGCATGCATGCCAGGCGAGCACGCTACTGCGCTACTGCTTGAGCCACATCCCCAGCCCCCAATTTTCAGATTTTTTAATACCTACCAAAGTAAACTGTCCAAGAAGTTTGTTGTCTCCAGCCATCTCTCTCTCACCTTGACACACTTTAATTTCCACTTGAGTCTGTCCATCAGCAGCAGTAGAAAACACCTGGGGAACAGTGCATCACAGGTTGACAATCTAATTAAAACACTCTCCTTATAGAAGGCAAACAAGGGAAATAAATTCACTGGATAGGAATTTATTTCATTTATTCCTATCCAGTGAATTTATTTCTGGAAGGATCCCAACATACACTATCCTCAGAACAAAGGCCTATGTCTTTTCAGGGAATAGGAGTAGGATTGGTACAGCAAAATGGCATAGCTATTGTTCAAACTAAGCAAATATACTATACAAAGATATAGCATTAGCACAGAAGGTGTCAAGACAAAAATCAGATGTTATTATGTGCTCAGTCATAGGATGTCATCACATACTTTTTCCTTCAGAATGATGTGTTGACAAAAACATCATTGCACAAACGCAGCAATAGCTGCAGTTTTTCAGAAATAGAGATAATACTTCCGTGACGAGGCAAAGAGAAGGAGAGCTCTTACCTGACTCTTCTTGGTTGGAATAGTGGTGTTTCTATTAATAAGTTTGGTAAAGACACCTCCCAGAGTCTCAATGCCCAGAGACAAAGGCGTGACATCCAGGAGCAGTACATCTGTGACATCACCAGCCAATACACCTCCTTGAATGGCAGCTCCAATGGCCACAGCTTCATCAGGATTAACAGCTTTACTTGGGGCTCGGCCAAAAAGATCTTGCACAGTTTGCTGAACCTGAGCATTAAGAAGAAAAATGTCAGCCAATATTTAGGGTAACTGCCCAATTAAGAGTGAGACAGAAAACTTAAGATGGAGAACTCAAGTGGAGAACACAATATTCTCCAATTAAAACAAACTTAATTTGGTAGGTAATGAAAACCTGAATATCGTGTTCTCCAATTAAGCCAGTCAGATCTAACGACAGAATTCTACTAAAATTATTTCATAGTTGAATTCTTGTTAATGCATTCTAACCAGAGTTTCTCACTTATTGCCCTTTTATATTTGATTTCCTTTATTACTAAATATCCCTAATATTTATTATCTGGTTTCCTGCACATTAATGAAATCATTTTAAACAGATAGTGTTAAGGCAAAGGGACTTAAAATTTTGTCATCCAAGTCCTATTAACTGAAGACCAAATAATGGAAGCAACATAATAAAACTGTTGCTAACATGGGGCACATTCTTCTGTATATTAGGACTAATCAGTACAATAGGACCATAAATAAGTTGTTAAAATTCAGGACTCCTCTTGTCCCAGAACCCCCCATCATTAATTTTGTGCTCTTTTCCTGAGCCCAAATACTTCAACAGAAAAACTAAGAAAATACCAAAGATCACTAATTCAGAACCCAGAATATAATTCTAATTCAGACTATCAGGAAGTCTGTGCTTAGTATCAATAGATTTGTGCTTAAGTCATTATTTCTCCATACATCTATGCTTTTTCAGATTGATGTTGATGAATAAAATGCATCACTGTACAAATCTTTACAGGAGAGATACAAAAAGAAACACTAGGCACTAAACTGTAAAGACATATGTCCTGCCAGGTATGGTGGTGCATGCCTTAATTTCAGAGGCTTGGGAGACTGAGCCAGGAGGATCACTAGTTCAAAGTCAGCCTCAGAACTCAGGGAGACCTTGTCTCTAAATAAAATATAAAAAAGACATGAATGTGTTTCAGTGGTTAAGCATCCCTGGGTTCAATCCCCAGTACCAAATAAATAAATAAGAGATGGGGATATAACTTCAGTGATACAGCAACTCCATGGGACAGTTCTCAAAGACATTCTGCTTCCCTTTAACTAAAAAAGCCAAAGTCTCTAGTGAGGACACAATCACATCCCTCTTAAGTCACCCTGGCAGTTTACATGCTGGCCCCCCTTTTCTCCATGCCAAGAATTCCATGGGTTCACACCTTGGGCATTCTAGTCATACCACCAACAAGAATCACTTCTCCTATGTCACTTTTGCTGACTTCTGCATCCTGCATAGCTTTTTGACATGGAGCAATGGTCCTCTTGATTAAATCAGTGACAATCCCCTCAAATTGAGCCCGGGTCAGCTTCATATTCAAATGCTTGGGTCCAGAAGCATCCATTGTAAGATATGGCAAATTGATGTCAGTCTRCAAACAAAATATTTAAATTGCATGTTAGAAAGTTTAATGTTTTATATAAGAAGCTAGAGTAAAATATAGGAAATGGGGAGGAAATGATAGGATGGGTAAGGGGAAGCAATGCAGAATGAACTCTTAGAAAACAGCCAGGTGCAGTGGCTTGGGAGGCCAAGGCAAGAGGATTGCAAATTCGGATCAGCCTCAGCAACTTATCAAGGCTCTAAGCAAGACTGTTTCAAAATTAAAAATGGGCTAGKGGTGTTGCTCAGTGGTTAAGTACCCATGGTTCAATCCCTGGTAATCCCCCCAAATCACATTATGTGCATATATGAACACATGACAGGGAACCTCACCTTTATGTGTAGGTAGGAAAAAAAACAATCAAATATAAATTAATGAAAATGAGCAAAAGGAAGTCAAGACTACAAAGGAGAATGAGAGAGGAGGATGAGAAGGAAAAGGGTGGGGAATCATGAACTGAAATAGAACTCCATGCATTTGAGTTTGTTGGGATGAGCCCTACTACTATCTATATCTATAAAGCTTTAATTTAAAAAATTGCATATTAGCCGGGAGACCAATTGTAGTTAAGTTTAATACTCAGTAAGGGGACACAAAACTTGAAATGCCACAAAAGGGGGTCAAACCCACTTTAATTGATTAACCAAAGGCAGTGACTACAACTTATCTTTCTAGACACAAACATTTCAAAATCCTTCTTAATAAGGTCTATATATATTGACAACTAAGAATGGAGTGGACAAAGAAATCCCCATTCAGAAGGAAGAATTGTTCTTCCACTTAACATTTAAAACCACACTACTGTTTTGGGTCCCCCCCCCCCTCTTTGTAATACTAGACAGTGACCCTAGAGACACTGTCACTGAACTTCATTGCCCACAGCCCTTTTTAAAATTTTTAGACAGGTTGCCCAGGCTGGCCTCAAAATTGCAATCTTCCTGGCCTCAGCCTCCCAAGTAGCTATGGATATGTGCCACTATGCCTGGCACACATTTTTCTTAACCAAGTTTTAAAAATATACTTTGAACATATGCCTTAAGTTTGYACTCAAATAACCTGAGCTTTATACATTCCAGAAAGTTTATATGTTAATAAAGCTGCAGAAATACTCTCATTAGAGAGATTACAAGAATTGAGTTACACTGCCATTACATTAATGCAGAGCAGTGAGTAGTCCCATTGTGTAACATCCAGTRTTTTATAAATCCCAAATGAAACATGGGATCTTATAATGTGTTACTAAGAATATTTTGGTTAAAGTTCAAAAAATTTTCTAGGGCTGGGGATATTGCTCAGTTGGTAGAGTCCTTGTCTCGCATGCACAAGGCCCTGAGTTCAATTCCCAGCCCCGCCCCCACAGTTTTCTGAAAAGTGTCCCAGAATGGACCCTCAAGAATAAAATTCCTACAAGGCGTGGTGTTGCATGCCTGTAATCCCAGTGGTTCGGGAGGCTGAGGCAGGAGTTAAAAGCCAGCCTCAACCTCAGCCAATGTGAGGTGCTAAGCAACTCAGTGAGACCCTGTGTCTAAATAAAACATAAAATAGGGCTGGGAGGTGGCTCAGTGGTTAAGTGTCCCTGAGTTCAATCCCTGGTACCAAAAAAAAAAAAGCAACACTGTTGATCGTCTAAGAAGTCACTGGGATTACAGGCATGCACCTCCATACCCAACAATACTTTTATTACTGAAACCAATTCTAACAGCAAAAGTACTAGTATTATCCAAGAGATTAAGATAAATAAGTAATTCATACAAGATCATGCAGTTAATTGATAAAATAAGGAACCCCAGCAGTTTGCCTGGAGAACCGTCACTCTTTTGCTTTTCTCAGTGCTTGGATCAACACAGGGCCTTGTGCATGCCAGCAAGTGATCGAGCACTTAGCAACAACACCCCCAGCCCCTAAAACCATCATATAGATCTTCTATTTTATATAATTCCTGGTTTGACATTTACTAATATATAATATCAACTATCAATGGGATAGTCACATTAAAACCAGTCTCTTYGAGCACTCTGCCCTTCAAAATGTCCTGGGAAGCATTAACTGGCAGTTTAGTGACAAATATTTTAACCCTATCTCTAACCACCACATTGTGAAGTTCTGTCATACTACCTGAAACAGAAATGAAACAACATTTAGGATGACTGTACACAACTTTGTTACTCCACACAAACCACTTAAAAAATTCAGATTTAGGCCAAGTGTGGTGGTATATGCCTCTAATCCCAGTAGCTCAGGAAGCTGAGGCAGGAGGATTTTGAGTTTAAAGTCAGCCTCAGCAACTCAGAGAGGCCCTAAGTAACTCAGTGAGTCCCTGTTGCTAAATAAACACTTGCCTGGCATGTGTGAGGCACTGGGTTCAAATCTCAGCACCACATATAAATAAAGGTCCATCAAAAACTAAACTAAACTAAACTAAAAACTTAGATGACTGCATTGCTCCTTTGTTCATGGCAAAGGTTTTACGAACCAAAAAACTGTAAAGAGATTACACTTCCATTGGGACAAACAGAATATACTATTCAAACAAATTCAAGTACAACACTGCTAGGATTTTCCCACATCTTACCTGCACAGATGAGGAGAGTTCACATTTAGCCTTCTCAGCAGCTTCTCGAACCCTCTGAAGTGCCATATTGTCTTTGGTCAAATCAACCCCTGTCTACAAAGTGATGATATGACATTACCATTAGTGAGGTGATAAATACTACTTAAGTTGCAGTAACAATGCAAAACACCATGAAATGCAGCCATATCTTCATAAGCAAACATAAATTATTTTTCATTAACCGTAAAAATCTGTGGGGAAGAAAAGAACTTATTCTTAAACGGGTATCTATCTGACTGGAGTCAGGAGACTGAAATGAATGATTTTCAGCTCTTTCTGGCTCTAGAACTCCTAATTCAAAGAAGGAATCACTTAATGCCTTTTCAAATACTCTACAGTGATTGACATTATTCCCATTCTAAAGCTACAATAACCAGAATAGTTCATTGCCCATGAAAGTGAAACACAATTATTTCAGTAGTTGTTAAGAGCAAAAAGTTGTAGAAAAAAGCCAAGAACATCCTGGTGTGATAGTGCACGATCGTAATCCCAGCTGCCCAGGAGGCTGAGACAGGAGGATTGAGAGTTCAAAGCCAGACTGAACAACAGAGATATGCAAAGCAACTTAGTGAGACCCTATCTCAAAAAAAAAAAAAAACAAAAAACAAACCACCAAGAGTGGCATGCGTGAGGCATGGGTTCGATCCTCAGCACCACATAAATAAAATAAAGGTACTATGTCAAGAGTATTCTGAACAAAGAAATTCTCAAATTCCCCATGTTCACACTTATTAACCACAATGGTAACCAACCTCTCTCTTGAACTCCTTCACAATGTGTCGTAACAAGGCCTGGTCAAAGTCTTCACCACCAAGGAAAGTGTCCCCATTGGTGGATTTCACCTCAAACACGCCTTTCTGTATTTCCAGGATAGAAATGTCAAAAGTGCCACCACCTAAATCATACACAGCAATGCTAGAAAGAAAAAGAAAGCCTTATGATACAGAACTTATCCCAAGGACTGAATTTCAACAACCAAAGGAAGTTAAACTTAGCTATTAAAGTATAATCATGATACATGCCTAAGTGACATTTGAGCATACATTAACACAAGGCCCTGATTTTAAAAAACATGGAAAATGCAGAGAGAAAATGAACTCAATTTTTAGTATCAGTAAGACAGCACTCAACCCGGTTTTGGAGAAATACTTGTCAACATGAATATCAAGAGAAAAATAAATGATCAAGGCCCCAAAGTAAATAATGGAATGGTCTTAAATAACTTGAAGGTAAAGGAAGCACATTTTTACTCTAAATACAAACAAAGCTCAATCAATAAAAAAGAGGATTCAGAATGAGTCTCATGGCTACATGACCTTAGTCTCATGCATCCAGGCTGGACTGTATTTACAAACTTACATTTTGTCTTCAGATTTGTCTAAACCATAGGCCAGAGCAGCAGCTGTGGGTTCATTAATCACTCGAAGCACATTCAGTCCAGATATCTGGCCAGCATCCTTAGTGGCCTAGAGAAAACAAAGATAAAAGCATTTTCCCCTACCTTGTGTCCCAGGCAACATTTTGTAAAGAAGAAAGCTGACTGATCTCACCTGCCTCTGTGAGTCATTGAAATAAGCAGGGACTGTGATTACAGCATTTTTTGCTGTGTGACCCAAGTAATTTTCTGGAAAAGAATCAGAATAAATTTAATCATGGTATTATGCCACAAAAAACAAGCAAAAGAATTATTAACATAGCCTCGCAACCTGTGTCATCCTTTTAAGACCAAAGACAACACACAACACTGGTCAGTGTTTTAGCAAGTAATTAACATGGAGACAGACCTTTTAAGAAATACTCCAAAATTAAAGACACTGGCTGAAAACTCAAAAAATCTCACCTCTAGTTGTTAGTGAAGGTTCACCAAGTCACAATAACCTTTAGACTTAAAACAGCCACTAGTTTTTAAAATGCAAAAGTTATAAGCTTTACTTATAGGGACAAAAGCTTAAGGTATAGCCTTTTGACTTTCAATATGGAATGCTAAACTCTCCAACACAAAAGCAGCAAGCCCACATACTACCAGGAAAACGTGAAATTAGGAGGTTGATATAGTGAATAGTAAGAGTTTTGCCTTTCCTAGGTTTTCTGTACAAAGGGCATGACTCAGCTACAGAACAGTGGGGTAATCTCAGGTAAGTCAAAATATTCAAACTTTTCCAGATGTGAACACTCACCTGCAGTTTCTTTCATCTTCATCAACACAAATGCTCCAATTTGACTTGGAGAATACAGTTTTCCATGAGCCTCAACCCAAGCATCACCATTGGAGGCACGGACAATTTTGAAGGGAACATTTTTACTGAAAACCACAGAGAAATTATATGAGATAACTGGCTAGTTCCACCTACCATAAAACAAAGTTATGTCACAAATGTYCACTATCCACCCCACAAGAGACTCATGAACAAAGGATAATTTTATAACATCATTTAATGAAAATCTTTAGAAAATAATAAAAATGTGTACATGAATGCTTAAGGTAGCATTCATTCAGACGCTAAAAGTGAAAATAACCCAAATGTCCATCAAATGACAAATGGTTAAACAAATGTTTATCTATACAGAATATTATTTAGTATATATCTATACAGAATATTATTTAGTCATGAAAAGAAATGAAGATTGATATAAGCCACGAGATAAGGACGAACCTTAAATTACCCTAACTGGGAAAAAAAACAGTCACAAAACCCAGTGATTAATATAAAACTGACACTCCAATTAAAGTTCAACAAACCAATTAAAAAAAAAATTTGGGCTGAGGTTGTGACTCAGTGGTAAAGCACTTGCCTAGCAAGCATGAGGCACTGGGTTCGTTCCCCAGCACATTAAAACAAACAAAACAAAAAATTTAAGATATAGGTACCATGAATATCTACTAAAAATATTTTTAAAAATCATACAAAAACGGGTAACTTTACATGTCTGGTATTTTTAATCTGAAATAAAAGCAAACTCAAGTGTCCCCCCTCCCCCGCATCGCCCTGCCCTGTATCTGTATATATCTGAACAATACATGATAGAACCTGTGCCATTAACTTATTCTGCCATTAATTCACATAGTTCAGGAATATCTCATAAACCTTCACATGCATGATCAACACAGCAAATACTGAATCCAAGAAGGCAAAAATGAAGTTTCCGTTGTAAGGAAGGATGTACCCCTATTTCGGAGGCATGGATTCCCCTCTTGCCTCCCAACATGTAATCCACTAAAGAAAGATGTTTTGAGGATCTTAAACTTCTAAGAGTGTTCTGTTTGGCCCTTGCAAATAACTATGTTTTTTGCTATTACTCACATGTCTTTCTGTACTTCAGGGTCATCGTATCGCCGGCCAATGAGACGCTTGGTGGCATAGAATGTATTGTTTGGGTTGGTGACAGCCTGTCGCTTCGCTGGCATCCCAACAAGTCGTTCACCATCTGCTGTAAAGGCAACAACGGAAGGGGTGGTTCTGGCACCTTCAGCATTCTCCAGCACCTAAAGTCCCCAAAATAAGAATTAAGATTCTAGTCACCACCAGCATCTTTTTTTTAAGTTGTAGATGGACATAATACCTTTATTTTAAAATTTATTTTTATGTGGGGCTGAGTATTGAACCCAGTGCCTCATACATACTTGGCATGTGCTCTACCACTGAGCTACAACTCCAGCCCACCAGAATATTAACAGCAACTAATTCACAAAGGCTTAAATACAGCATTAACTGGCATGCTTTACTACTGTGAATTCTAACTCAGCAAATACCAACTCTTGAAAGCATTTAACAGTTTGGTATCTTTAAACCTTTAACTTGAAAGAACTAACAACTAATAACAAAAAGTCGTACAAAAAACTATTCATCAGGTTTTTCAAACTTGGTGTTGAAAAAGATAACCTCTCCTTYGGCATAGAAAATTAAATCTTACATTTCTGTGATGGCTACAAATTTCAGCATGTAAAATATATGCCAAGAAGCACAAATAAACACTAAAAAGGGATTACTGATACTAAACAAATGGAGAAAGACTCCTCTACATAGTGTTTCAGACAAGGACATGAGGGAAAAGCATTAAAGCCCATGTAGGAAGAGGCAAGACTGTAGAATCTCGGGTGCTCTAAATCTTGGTAACAACCCAGAGGGAATAAAGATGTTACATGCAAAGAGTAAGTAGGTTCAGAATAACAGCCTTTATCTAGAAAGCTCTTGCATGTGTGACTCCATTTGCTTCTAGCCTGCAACCTCTCATCTTGGTTCAATATATTTAAAAAACTGCTGCACTATTACACTGCAAGCCAGTCTGGCCTCTATCCCAGGTCAATGTTTTTCAATCCCATGGGGAAGTGAAATTCATTCAATTATCCGCATCACAAAGATTCTCACCTCACAAATCTTAAGAAACCAAAAGCAGCTTTTAAAATGCAAACCAAACTTCAGAATTCCCATCTAAGCCCCAAAGCACATAATTCTGGAGTGGACACTAGCTACTCTATGTGACCCAGAGCTTCTTATCATGCTCACCTTTGCTTGTTTACCCTCCATAACTGCCACACAGGAGTTGGTAGTACCCAAATCAATACCAACAACTGCACCCTTGATTGCTTCTGATCTGTAAGATATTTAAAACAATGTCATAGTTATCACCTTATTACTGGACTCCAAAACAACAGAAGGAAACACAAATATTTGATATGGGAGCAAAATAGTGGTACACTACATTATAAATAAGCAGGTTGAAGTAGTGCTTCTCACTAGGATGGGTTATTAAAAAAGGAATAGTTAATCGTAAATGTAGAGACCGTTAATATGTATCCTCTGTCAAAGGAAATTAAGTTATACTTACGCATAATCTCTCCTTGAAACAAACCTAAAAGCCTCATGACTAAGGCCATTCCAACCATCCTAAAAAATAAAAAACAGTTGCATCAGTCATCAACAACATAAGAAAACTTAAGCTTGTTCTAATTATTTAAGAGTTTTATGCATCAGCCTGAATGTGTGCGTACTCAGATTCTAAGTAACTCAGAAGTTTGTGCTGACCTTGTCGCGGTATTAATGTTGTAGAGCCATTAAAAAAAGGGGAAGGGGGGGGTTAGGCAGAAGCTTTCCATCTGGATAAAAGACGTTTCATTACTTTGTTAACATCTAACCTAGGACTACTTTCAAGCCTTCCATTAAACCCACATCTGAGTGGATAGCTTCAATTCTCATTCACCACAGATGTAGTTTTCGTTTTAGATGAAGAGCAACCACAACCTTCTTTCTTGTCCTTACTTTTTCTGATGTACAATCGAGTACAATCTCCTACTTAAGATTTTCCTAAACACGAAAACTGAAGCTGAAATTGTGATTTTGGACTTCTTCAGGCATTTCTCTTCCTTTATTCACCACACCACCGGGGTCCTACACACACTACTCTGCACAAAGGAAAACCTGTCTTTCGACTCAGGTGAAAATGAAACCTATACTAGCGGCTCCCTCCCAACAGGCTGCATCCCTCTCCCAAGGCGAAACCTGTCCAACCAGACACAGAACAGACTGTTAGGACCACCACCTCGTAATTCGTGGGATAAGAGACTAGATCACGAGTAGTGTGACTCAGCAGGACCCGAAGGGCAGAGGAAGAGGGCCCAGAACTAGGCCTTAAGCCGGCAACGCTAAATACTTAAGTCCGTTACCTTCTTTCCCTCGTGATTTTCCCTTGAAGAACCTGACCCTGAAGGGCGCGGCCTGCCCTACTGAGTCCTGAGACCGTGAGCCGTTTCGGGAAGGCCCGACAGTTTCTTACCTGGTGGCGAGCGGCCGTGGGGCCCCGGGAAGCTGCGGCGCCCACGAGGCGGGCTGCTGCGGCTCGGCTAGCGCTTATCATGGCGGCTAGACCTAGGGAATAGGAAGAAGCAAAGAAGCGCTCGGCTGGACGGGAGCAGAGCAGCGCGGTGGTGGCAGCGATTCTGGAAACCTCCAACCACGTGGGGTGGTGGGGCGGAGATTGGGCACTGAGGCCCAGAGAGCCACTTTTCCAATGAGGCGTCGCCCGCGCCGCCTGACCAGAACCTACCCGACTGCCGCTTCCGGAACTAGGGCGTGCTGATAACGTGCTCCGAAGCATGACTGTTGAAAACACTTTGCCCTCCAGTTTCGGCCGCAGCTACTGAGAGGATAGTGAAAAGCGAAGAGGTGGAGATGGATATTCAGGCAGCGCCTCAGACAGCCGCGGTCCTCAGCTTCAGGAAAGACTCAAGGTCACACGGGATAAATTGCGAACCGATTACAGACTCCTTGCGTCAGTTGCGTGGAGGGAGGAGCTTGTTGCGCCTACGCAGGTGGTATTGAGCTAAGGCTCGAGAACGCATGCGCGCAGAGACTGGTGGAAAACGGAGTGGGAGATTAACAGTGTTTATTGGATGCCCCCACGCAAGCGAGTTTGGCTCGAATACAGCTGAGAGCGAACCCGAGCGCGTGCACTGTGCGCGTGGACGTTTTCCCCGCTCTCTTCTCTCGCGGAGGGCGCCATCTTGTCCTGGGGCTTTGTTTTGTTTTTTGGTACTGAGGTTGGAACCCAGGTTGCAAAACCACTAACCTACATGCCCTGCTTTTTTTTGTGTCTTATTTTGAGACGGAGTCTCGCTAAGTTGCTTAGTGTTTCGCCAAATTGCTGAGGCTRGATTTGAACTCGCGATTTGAACATCCTTTGGAGCCGCTGGGATTACAGGCGTGCGTTGCGCGCCCTACTGGGGGCTATGTTAAGTGCCATGGTTTGTTCATAATTTGAAATACACCTAGGTATGGAGACCGTAGACAAAATTTTTGCTGTGTTTTACCTCGGGAGTCTCGGGTTTCCAGCCTCTAAAGCAGCGTTTCGTTCAGAGTTTTGGGTCGCCCTAAAACTAATCATCGTGCAAACGATCAARGAAAAAACTACTTGAGCTCAGGCTCTTCCCCTTTTACTGTGCTGGCTGAAGGCCTCCTCTGTACCCTTTCAAACCTTGTGCTGGTTGTAAAATGTTAGTTACYCCTTTGTGACAAGTTTCACATATTTTATAAAAGGAATTCATTGATTCCACAAACTATGTGTTAGGCACTTTTCTAGTTGGTGGGAATACAGTAAAAGCAAAACGTGTTCGTTGATGAGAGGACAGTGAGATTGAACTTGATTTTGATGATGAAGCCATTTGTCTTTGAAGTCCTCTTTCAAAAGAGGAAAATGCTTAAAGCCCCTACTTCCTTATAAATAAGTACTGTATTATTAAGTGGTCATCACTGCGAGGAATTGTGAAGGAAATGTGGAAAAATTGGGAAGGAAAGAAGATAATTGAAGAGTTTACATTCTGAGGGGAAGAAAGTGAAAAATAGAAAAGGTGCTGGGCTTGGCTCACGCTTGTAATCCCAAAGGTTGGGAGGCTGAGACAGGAGGATCGCTAGTTAAAAGCCCGCTTCAGCAACCCAGGAGCTAAGCACTCAGTGAGACCCTGTCTCTAAATAAAATACAAAACAGGGCTGAGGAGGTAGCTTAGTGGTCGATTACCCCTGGGTTCAAAGCTATAGGCTCATGAACCGTATTTGTAGAGATTTACATTTTAAAACAGAATGCTGATGAAGGGAAATAATACTAAATAGTGAAGCAAAATAGAAACAACATTACATCTTTATGTTGTATATGACAGAGAGGGAGAGACTGTTCTCAATTCTCTGTGCAATCAAGAGGCTAAGAATTTGCTTTTCTTTTTGTTCCATACACTTAAAAGCCTCAAAGTATTAATCAAAAGAATCCTGGAATCAAATTATATTTTCTAAAGGGTGTCTGAGACCACGATTGTGTGGGTATGACTTTCCTGTGGTTTCTCCAGGCGTCTTGCAAATATTCTCCATAACCACCAGGGGGATGTGGTAGTGCTAGATATTCAAAGCATGAACCTGAGAATGAAGGCTTTTAATATTTGCCAGTATAAAAGACAGGCTTCTGCACTGCCTTGCAAATTACCATAGCCTACAGCCTGAAGGCTGGAAGAAATGAATCTGATTCTAAGAAAACATAAGGGTTCAAATGAATAAGAGCAGACAGATCCTCAGCCAAGTAGTGTACATCACAGAACTCTAAATAGAGATTGGCATCTCACTGTTAATTTGGGAAATGGAAGGAAGTGGTGCATAATTTGCATGAGGGTAAATGTTTACTAAACAGAACAAGTGGCTGTCCAATACCTGTGCATAGTGTGTGTGTGTGTATGTGTATATATATATATATATATATATATATATATATATATATATATTTTTTTTTTAGTACAGGGGGTTGAACTCAGGGACACCTAACCACTGAGCTACATCCCCATCCCGTTTTTTAAATTTTTTATTTTGAGACAGTGTTTCACTAAGTTGCTCAGGGCCTCATCAAGTTGCTTATACTGGCCTTGAACTTGCAATCCTCCTCCCTCAGCCTCCCCAGTCACAGGGATTACAGGCGTGCACCCCTGTGCCCAGCATATCATTCTTTTWAAAAAAAATATTTATTTTTTTAATTGTAGTTGGATACAATATCTTTATTCTATGTATTTATTTTTATGTAGTGCCGAGGATCAAACCCAGGGCCTCGCATATGCTAGGCGAGTGATCTACTGCTGAGCTACAACCCCAGCCCCATATCATACTTTTAATAATATTCTGGGGCTACAGCCATTAGTAGGAATTTTCTCTAGTAATTAATAGTAGCTGTTAAGTGTTTACTTAAGCTCCACAAACTGCTCTAGATTCATGTACATTTTATAGTGGAATGTCAAAACATGACCTAAGTAAGTGTTGTTGTATTCTCATTTTGCAAATGTAGAATTTGAAGCTTAAGATTGATTAAATATGTTACCTGGGGTCTTATGGCAATTGAATGGTAAAGTCAGTCTGACTCCAGAATCTACACTGCCAACAACCACTGTTCTGCTGCCTCATAACCAAACAGGATCTGATGTTTCACCTCTACATTTACATTTACAAAATCTGAGTTTTATAATACTGGCTTAATCCATTATTAACAGCAGTTACTCTGACAATGGAATAAAAAGAAATACTTTAAATTTTTTAAATGTAGTTTAAGGGGCTGTGGTTGTAGCTCAGTGGTAGAGCTTGCCTAACATGTGAGGCACCAGGTTYGATCCTTAGCACCACGTAAAAATAAATACATAAAATAAAGGTATTGTATCCATCTAAAACTAAAAARTATATTTTTAAAAAATGTAGTTTAGGTTCCAAAACAACCTTAAGGAAAATTTGGGGCTAACCAAGTGTGATAGCTCATGCCTGTCTGAAAAATAAAGTAAAAAGATATGGGTATATAGCTCAGGGCCAGAGAGCCCCTGGGTTCAATCTGTAGGACCCCTACTCCTACACACATACATAAAAGAAAATTCCAGACTAGGGATATAGTTCAATGGTAGAGGACCTACCTAGCCAGTACAAGGCCCTGGGTTTGATCCCCAGTACTGTTCAAACAACAACAAAAAAAGGTTGGAAAAAAATTAATATAACTCAAGGATCAAATTTGTATTTTTAAAGCAAAGTCTCTAAACTGATGTCTCGGGAGACATTTTATTCAGTCTCCTGAAAGATGAATGTCATGTGTGGTAATTTCCAACTTCCAAAAATAAAAATGAGGCATGTAGGGGCTGGGGTTGTGGCTCAGTGGTAGAGTGCTTGCCTAGCATGTGTGAGGTATTGGATTCGATTCTCAGCACTGCATATAAATAAATAAATAATAAATAAAGGTCCATCAACATTAAAAAAAAAACTTTTCTCCTAAAATGATGATTTGTCACTTTTGTTCTTGAAATTTTTTTATAGCTGCATCAGATTTCAGGAAATAGTTCCCACCTTTCTTCTTTGGCATCACTATCAGAATGCCTTATGCGATGTTGCTCCTCTCAAGCAGAGCTTGCCCCAGTGAAACGTAGGAAGTGTTAGGGTGGGTGGGTGATGTCTCTGTCCCCAGGGCTGATGACAACTAGTAGGTTTCATTCTCTGTTGAATGTCTAATAATCCACCAACTTGCCTGACTTCTGGTAGGAGAAGGAAAGAAATAGAATGACCGTGAAAGAAAAGTAGAGGAACAATAAATCAAAATAAGATGTCACTTTCATTAGATAGGACATTTATATTCTAGTGATAATCAGTTACATTGCACAGGTAGAAAACAATCTTGGGAGCTGGGGATATAGCTCAGTTGGCAAAGTGCTTACCTCACATGTACAAGGTCCTGCATTTAATCCCTGGCAACACACACACACACACACACACACACACACACACAGGCAGTCAGTCTCATTCTGGATACGTATTCAGGTATAGGACAGACAAAGGACATGAAGCCCCTACAGTAGGACTGACAAAACCAGAGATTTGGCTCTTTATGAAGATCCATTTAATGCTTAATTTTTAAGGATGTAGTGACCTTTTCTAAATTTTTTAGTGTAAAAAGCCAGAATGATTATTCATTCTTGTCCAGCATAATATAGCAAAAAGAAGTTTTAAAGTAGGAGTGAGCCAGAACTTGGGTTCTAGAGACACACACAAAGGACCTTAAGTGTCATTTAAAGACTGAAGAGAAACAATGAATTGCCCAGTGTCACACAAACAGTATTAGCTTCTGCTCTACCATCTCCTTTTTTTTTTTAATGCTTTTTAGAAATCACCCACATGATTTCACTCAATTAGTACAGTGTCTTTTCAAATGTTTACAGATAACCTGGTTCATATATCCACTTTCTCACTCCTTAAGGCACATGATTAGTGAAATTATGTCAGCTGTTTTTCAATTTGCATGGATTACTTGCTTTATGTGAAGGGCTGTTGGACTGAACATTTATGTCCCCACAAAATTCATATGGTAAAACCTTACCAGCATAATATTGTTTGGAGGTGCATCCTTTGGAAGGTAATTAGGTCATGAGGATGGACCCACATAATGAATTAGTGGCCTTATAGAAAGAGTGATGAG